TCTCCAGTGCGGCCAAGTCTTCACGTGCCTCTGAGAATTCACCTTCCTCCATTCCCTCACCGACGTACCAGTGCACAAATGCCCTCTTTGCGTACATAAGATCAAACTTGTGGTCGATCCGTGAAAACACCTCTGCAACCGCTGTGTTGTTGCTGATCATGCATACGGCTCTCTGGACCTTGGCCAGGTCACCTCCAGGGACGACTGTTGGAGGCTGGTAGTTGATTCCACACTTGAACCCAGTTGGGCACCTGCAAAACAAAACCCAAGACAATGAATCGTTTATAAAAACAGCATGAAGGCAAGAAAAACAATATAGCAACTTGTTGTTCCAATTCTTACCAGTCAACAAACTGAACAGTCCTTTTTGTCTTGATGGTACCAACAGCAGCATTTACATCTTTAGGAACAACATCTCCACGGTACATCAAACAACACGCCATGTATTTCCCGTGCCTCGGGTCACACTTTGCCATCATGCTAGCAGGCTCAAACACTGCATTGGTGATCTCAGGGACTGATAACTGTTCATGGTAAGCCTTTGCAGCTGAGATGACCGGTGCGTACGATGAAAGCATGAAATGGATACGAGGATACGGGACAAGGTTGGTCTGGAACTCAGTGATATCCACATTGATGGCTCCATCAAACCTCAGTGAAGTTGTCAGGGATGATATGATCTGAGATATCAACCTGTTTAAGTTTGTGTAGGTTGGCCTCTCGATATCTAGTGATCTACGGCAAATATCATAGATGGCTTCGTTATCCAAGAGGACAGCTACATCGGTGTGTTCAAGTAGGGAATGGGTAGAAAGAACACTGTTGTAAGGCTCTACAACAGCTGTAGAAACCTGAGATAGATCAAAAGGCAAACCGTTGAAACTCAAGATGCATAGTATACAGAAACAATCAGGGAGGGACACCAAATTAGACCACTAAAGAAACATGTAATGTAATGTAATGAGTTCTTCTAACAAAAACTATGAATCTCTCTGCATCAATAAGTGAGTGAGTAAGAAAGAAAGGTACCTGAGGAGAAGGATAAATGGTGAATCCAAGCTTAGACTTTTTTCCGTAATCTACAGACAAACGTTCTAACAACAAAGAACCCAACCCAGAACCAGTTCCACCACCAACAGCATTGAACACCAAAAACCCTTGCAAGCCAGTACAGTTGTCGGCTAGTTTCCTCACACGGTCAAGGCAAAGGTCCACAATCTCCTTTCCAACTGCAATAATTATATAAACCATCATTTTAAGAACCCTAACATGACAAACCCAGAATTATCAATTCCCAGAGAGAAAATGGTGTTCTCACCAGTGTAATGGCCTCTGGCGAAGTTGTTCGCAGCATCCTCTTTACCGGAGATAAGCTGCTCGGGATGGAAAAGCTGCCGGTAAGTTCCGGTACGAACTTCGTCGATAACAGTAGGCTCGAGATCAACGAAGACAGCCCTAGGAACATGCTTGCCGGCACCAGTTTCGCTGAAGAAAGTATTGAAAGCATCGTGCGCAACGCCAACTGTAGTATCACTGCGAATTAACAAACCAAAAAGCCATGTTCGTCTCTCAAAAACCTTCGATCCAACAGAAATAAAATGGAAAGGGAAGAGCGATAGATATCTACACATACCTTGGCATCATTCCATCGGGCTGAATACCATGTTCGAGGCAGTAAAGCTCCCAGCACGAATTCCCGACTTGGATCCCAGCTTGTCCGATATGAATGCTAATGATTTCTCTCATCTTCTCTTCTTCTCAGACGAAACCCTAATTCGAAGAAATCGGAGACGGAGATCGAAGAGGGAGATGAAGGAAATGAGCGAGATCTTGTTTTCATTTTTGGGGGAAAAGGGGATTATATTTATGAAAGGGATTCTATAATTGGTTGGGGTCCGCCAATTTGTGACAGCCTGCCTTAGGCACTGGGATTAGACAAAATACGTGAGATTCGATCTGGATCTAGATCTGCCCAGTGTCGATTTATATCCGGTTCGTAACTTAACCGGATTTATCTATGTTGATGGCGGTGGAAAAAAACCTCTAACCGAACCGAATCGCTCTTATTTAGGTATTATTAATTTAGGGTGTAGTGGTTTGTTTATCAAATTTTATTTTGATTTATTACGATTACGATATTAACTTAGCTATTCATACTGTAGTTAACTTCGTAGAATCTTTACAAAATAGAAACAAAATCTTCTACGTATCTTCATGACTTCATCGAATATATCATGCTTTGAATTTGAGTTGAAATATACAACGGATACCTTTTGCACATACGAATAAATACTTTTTCAATTAAAAAGCCCGATCTACAATAATCATCATTTTTCCAAAAACCTGACAAATGAAGGGCAGACAATTTGAATTAGTAAGATCCATATAAATTTATTGTAAATCATGTAAACCTGTCAATTCTTTGCTAAGAACCATGCAAAAATAAAATAACTTTGAAAGGGGTTAAAATCATTAAGCAACTTATCATTCCAAACCTTCAAGATATGCCACAAGAGTCATGGAAATATGGATAAATACCAAAACTTTGTCTCCTTTTAGAATTCTCAAAAAATAAAATAAAAATCGATATTTCAACTCCACAACTTTGTCTCTCTTTAGAATTCCCCAAAAAATGGAAAAATAGTATATAGAATCGAAGGAATAAACGAAAAGGTCTAAAATAGAAGAGTTGGAGGACAAAAGAAGAACGTATGGTTAGAGGTCACCACAACAAATATACCATACTGTTTTGCGGCCAATTTTTCATTTACTTCCAAAACCTTTGACAATGCCTACCATATAAAGCGTCTAATCTTTTTCAAAACCTTAATCTTTCACACATGCTTTTTAACCAAGTTTGTTTTTGTTTTTTTGTTGAAAAAATTGCTTCTTAACCAAGTTTATCGAAGGGGGTTGCATTAGAATTTGATTTCCTCGTCTATTTCCATTTTGGTAACTTTAATTGGGGACGATTACACAACACCTTCATCCAGAGAAATGTCAACATAAATAATCCTACATAAATATAGAGCTTGGTCTTTGAGTAAAGAAGTGTATATCCTCGAACAAGCCTTCCATTATAGAAATGAGATACTGGATCAATTCCCTCATGATTCAAATTTTCCATGAGACAACATGGATCAAAGAAATATCCCACACAAAGTTGGGAATCAATTAGTTTCCTTTGTACGTACAACAAGGATAACAACATAGAGTCTCGAGTATATCGCTAAAATCTTAAGGA